TTTTTTTTTCGTTTAAAAAACACAATCTCAATTTAAAAGTTAAATTGTGACAGAGAGACAGAGAGAGAGAGACAGGTTCTGGGAAATTTGACTGAGAAGTAGGAGCAATTGTATTGTACCTTTCCATTACAGCTGAGCTATAATTGGCCTCATCGCTACTATGAAAGAACAAAATATTGGAATCTGTTGTGCAGCGGGACAAGTGACTTTACATTAATCTGAGAAACGTGTAGCCCTACATACAGCATCCTCTGTACTGAAAAACACGGTGGAGGTGTGAGATGCAGGTTTTAGCAATGTTAGACAGCATCTTCCTCTATTAGATCCTTTGTGCCCACTGATGACAGGCTGAGAAAGAAGAACCAAGGTTCTGCATCCCGCTTTAGCCTCCCTGTAGCTCAGCTCCACCTTTGGGCTAACATGGCAAATGTAACGTTCTTCCACTGTGGCAAGGATTCCAAGACTGACATGAATAAGGAATACTGCTGTTAGTTGATGTTGGTGGGTAATTTTAAGAGCCTTCCTAAGGATGGGTTAAACTGTGTCTGATGTCCAGCCTTTACATGGACAACTGAGTCGCTCGTCTTCTCTCAATGGGAGCTTTGGGTCTGGAGGCAGCAGGGTCTGGTGGTGCAAGGCAAGATGGAAACATAGCTAGTGCTTCAGGAAGATGTTGACAGATGAAACTCAAATGTTTCTGGTCCCTTTTCAGATATTTGTGCTGTAGTGCTCTGCATGTGTTTTGTGCCTTTGATCCTCATTTGGCTGATTATACTAGACTCCAGGGCTAGGCCGTCCAACTCGCACTGACGTCAATGAGCCTTACACGCATAAAATCCTACTGATTCCTGTGGTTCCTATGAGCCACGTGGTTTCATATGACGGACAGATTGTTGGTGTAAATTGCCAAAGCCCCACTTACACCAAGAGAGAAGCTGCACTTCAGTGGCCCCTTGTGCGTGCAAGTCTCTGGATTTTCCCTGGACCCTGTGGCTTCCAAAGGCAAAACTAACCAATTTGCAGCCCCCTCTTCTGAAGCCAGTCAAGGTATTTTCACTAATTGATTTCAGATCATTCAGCAATGAATCGGCAATGAACACAGAAACGCACACTGATTTTGTTTAGGAACCTTCCATTTTGGGATTCTCCAAAGGACAGAAGGTTTACTCTTACATGGAGTGGTCCTGCTTTCTCCCTGTACCTGCATGACATGTCTGACTGGATATAGCGTTGATTAGAGTTCAGAGCTGAAGGGATGAACTTATTTTTCATTCCAAATTTCTTTGAAACTTTCCCCCTCCTCACCCCAGATTTTTTTGTACTTGCTCTTTTAACAAGGTGCTAGCTGATGTTGCACTGGGTGCATTTTCCTGCACTTCTCTACTGCAAGTACCCGAGACCTTGCTCTTGTTGCTGCACCTGAGCTTAAGAGTGGCTGAGGAAGAAAAGGCAGCTCATCATCTGCAGGAACTGGCAGCATCGTTTAACCAGTTTAACTTCACACAGTTTGTGTTGCTCCAGGGGGTTGCTATGCCTTTGTTGCAAAACTCATCTGACCTCGTGCGCCAACAACAGTGATACCAGTAGGTCTGCTTGGGAAACACACCCTGCCACTTCCACTGTGCACCTCGCTGCTTTAGGGGATGTCAGCATGGCCTCAGCTCAGCTGGGAGCTGGGTCTCGCTCCTCAATCAGAGGTGAGTGACCCTGTTCTCTGAAGACAGAGAGGGAAGTCTGTCCTAAGTTTGTGCTGGATTCAGGGTGGGGTTTGTGGGTGTATCTTTTGTTGTGGTGCAGGTTGTTTTTGGGTTTGTTATGGTTGGTTGGTTGGTTGTGTTTTTTGTTGTTGTTTTGTTTTGTTTTTCTGTTTTGGTTTTGTTTGTTCTTAACATTTCACATAAAAGAGAAGTTCTTGTCTCTGAAGCCGTATTTCAGAGTTTCACAAATCTGCCCTCTTTCAATGAGTGTAGATGGTCTGGCATGTCCTCACAAGATGAAATACTTGTTTACTAATGCTTTATTTTGCCAGGGCTGTCTGCTGGATTCCCAGTCAAAAGCCACTTACCACAGAGCTGATACAGGCTCTCAGCCCATAGTGGCCGGTCACTGAAGCCCAGCACCCAGGCAGGGAAACCTGGGGTAAACGTGAGCCTACTGAAAGCAGCTAGCTGCCTGACTGCTGGTGCGCTGAGGGCAGGGGGTGGTTAGGAAGCAGAGGAGAAGGCATCCCAGTCTACCCTTAATTACAGTACCTTAAAACCACACTCTGCTGTTTTCAGCCAGGGCTCCTTGTTGTCTTAGGATGCATGCCTGTAAATGTGAAATAAGTAAATGACTTTATTGTGAGGATTTGGCACAGGAGAGCCTTAGCAGCATCCCAAATGGTTATTTAAATATCAATAACATTTTCTAATTCAGGCTACAGAAATTAAACAAACTTGTGTGGAATCAGCAAGTTACTAGTATAACTGTGTGTGGCCATAAACAAATACACATAACATAACAGAGAAAACTTCCAGTCAAATAAAAGCAACCGTAATCTTCGTCACCCCAAATCTATTTTTGTTTACAGACAACTCACTGTCGTTATTAAACACGCAGAACACTTCCTGGATATTCTCGTACACGCTTGCAAGCACACGTTATTAAATCCGTCCTCCTGTCTCTGCTCACCTCGCGCAGCCCCGCAGGAACGGAGCGGCCCGGCGGCCGCGGCACGGAGCGTGTGCGGCTCCACTGCCCTCTCCTGGGAGCAGGCAAGC